CACCCCACCCCACCCCTACAGCGGGGGGTGGCCGGCGGGGACCCCCGCCTGCCCCCCACCCACTCACTGCCTCGGCCGGAAACGGGCGCCGCACCGCGCTCGCACCTGTGTACGGCTGGGAAGGTATTTTTGTTAGGTGTGCTGTCTGGTTGCTTGGCTGTTGCCCGGTTACCAGGTTGTTTGGAATAGTAGTTGAGTGCCGGAGAGAAGAGATGAAGTGGGTGAAGCCACCGCTCACCTTTGCTCTGTGGGAGTAGCCAGTCACTAGCTGTTAAAATGCCTCGGTATGGGTGTGAGATCTTCAGGTGTCTTACTGTGTCCTGAAACGTTCTTTTGTCTCTTTATCTATTAAGGATTGTTGCTACCATGTCTTCTGGTACGTTGGCAAAACCTCAGTTGCGGGGTCTTCTGGCCAAGCGTCTGCGGATTCATATTGTTGGAGCATTCATTGTCTCTTTGGGGGTCTCAGCTCTCTATAAGGTATGTATATTAGTTTATTGTTTTGTGTTTAAGGTAATGGAGTGTGTATTTTAAAACGATTTTTAGATTAGTTAAGGAGTATTTAGGTATTGGGGCTTGAACCTGGGACCTCCAAAAAACTCCCTCTTGGGGTGGGGGCAAGCTCTAGTAGTAGCGTTTAATCCCCTCCACAAAAAGAGGTGGAGAGCAGGAGAGGAAAGAAGGAAGGAACGAATGAATTCTTATCTTTCCTGAACTTCAATGGGATGGTAACCTCATAGGTAGCTTACCTTCCATTTTAAGATGGAGTTGTGTCATTTTGCTAGGCCTGCCAAAACCAAAGAGGTAGATCGAATTAGATGACAGGTTTTTTTTTTTTTTTCCTCATAGTTCTGAATACTTGAAATCTGTAGATAGGTTTGATTTCTTCTGAGTCTCTTCACCTTTGCTTATAGAAGTTTGTCATCTTTCTTTCTACATGGTTCTTTGTAGGGTCGCCTGGCAGTGGCTTAATTTCCTCCTGAAAAAACACAACTGATACTGGACTCACTCTAAAAGCTTCATTTTAAACATTAATTTAAAGACATATTTCCAAGTAGTTATATTCTCAATATTAGAAATTCAGACTTTTAACACATGAATTTTGGGAGAACAAAGTTCTCCCCTCAATAAATGGTACATAATAATGCAGAGGTGTAGGAAAAGCAGTAATTCTGTTGGTCACCTTGAAAAGTTACCCTTTTTTTTCTGTCCCTCTTGGGGCCTGCACTCTGGGCCTTGGCTCTGTCACTGAGCTCTTCACTCAAGGCTAGCACTACCACTTGAGCAACAGCACCACTTTTGGTTTTCTGAGTGGTTTATTGGAGATAGAGTCTCAGGGAGTTTCCTGCCCAGGCTGGCTTTGAACCACAGTCCTCAGATCTCAGGCTCCTGAGTAGCTAGGATTACAGGTGTGGAGCCACTGGCACTCAGCAGAATTCAGATTTTTAAAATTCTTCCTACTTAGAATTTTTTGTCTATATTCTAGCTATGCTGTGAGCTTCATTAAGGGAAGTATCTTTTTTTTTTTTTTTGTCCTGAGGCTTGAACTCAGCCTGTATGCTGTCCCTGAGCTCTTTTGGTCAAGCTAGTGCTCTACCATTTGAGTCACAGATCAACTTTTGGATTTTTCTGTAGTTAAATGGAGATGTGTCTCAGACTTTTCCTGTCGGGCTAGCTTCACCCTCAATTCTAAGCTCTGGTACCCAGCCATATCTTTGATTTTTATGGTGCCACCCCATTGCCTGATACACAGATGTTTAAAGATATTTGTTGATAAGAGGGAGTATCTAAAATTCAGTAGTTCCAAGTGTTCTGGAGGAAACAAAAGGTAGGACTAAAGCTCCTTGAGAGCTTAAATATATTAGATGTTGATAGAATCAAAAGTGGTTTGGGGAAAAGGATATTTTGAGTCAGAGTTCTTTATTACAGGGAGTGGAATTTGAACTTGTAAGGTTTGGGAGAATTTGGAGAGCAAAGAGGAATAACAATGAACACAAGCAGTAAATGGGTGCATGATCTGGGACCCTTTGAAAGAGACAGGCATAAAAATATTTTTGCCTACCGTGTAGTGAATATGAAATGAATGTGGAAGGAGGGCTGGATGATAGAGTAATTATTATATTCCTTGATTCTCTCATTGTCAGCCATCAAGTCTGACCTATAACTTCTTGTATGATTCTTATTATTTCTAACTGGTGGTCCTCAGACTAGATCTGTTAATTTTTTTGGGTTATCATCATTCAATGTGTAGAAGTTTTAAAATTTGATCTACAGCAAAAATATATTCTTGCATTGTGACTCAGTTAACTTATTATATATGTGTATGTATGTATAGAGAAATTATAAATGTATACTGCATATTTACAAAACAGTTTGATGGGACAAAATATGTAATGCACTCTTAATTTCTATTTTATCTTTTTGAAGTGTTGGCTGTAGCCTTCTACATTGGTTTCTTGCCCTACTGATGAGTAGTGGATTAAATTATCATTATCCCTATCATTTATAATATAGTAGCTCTTCAGAAGTATTTGCTATTACTGAATTCCCTTTCCCATGCTTATGAGCATATAAGAAATTTAAAAAAAAAATCTCATTTCCTGGCAGATTCTTTAAAAGTATAATGACAAGTTTTGTCTGTTTCTCTAGATAGGTTAGTTGTGGTCTACAGAGCCAGCAGACTGGCATTTTGTACTAGGCTGTTACATAGAGCTCAGTACTTTGTATTTTCTGTCTGTATTAAGAAATGGGATAGTGCAGACACTTGACAGAGGGCTTTTACTGAGTTCTTCATCAAGTAGCATGATTCTACATTCTGTAATGCACACACTGATATTGATTAGGTATTAGATTTGAGTTTGGTATATAAACCAAACAAACCCACTAAGCAGTGTTTTGTGGAGAATAAAACTTCTACCTTTGTCATAGATAAGCAGTTGAATTCTGCTTGAGCCACATGCTAGGTAGTGCTTCTAGACCTTCATCAAGTTGCTTAACTCCACTTCAGTAAAAGAATCTTCATTTTGTTCATCTCTCCCATTTGTATGCAAAAAACAAAACCCCAGCAAAGTGAGCTCCCTCTTATCATTTCCTTTGATGATTCTTCACTTGTAGCAGTTTCAAGACTTTCAGTGATTAGTAGTGGTCCTCTTGAGTCTATTCCATCATTTGTTGCACTGCCAACTCCTAGACCCTGTGTTGAAATGCAAATCACCCCATATTATTATTTTTTGCTGGTCCTGGGGCTTGATCTCAGGGCCTGGGCTCTGTCCTGATCCTCTCTTGTGTTCAAGGATAGCACTGTACCACTTGAGCCACAGCACCACTTCCAGCTTTTTCTGAGTAGTTTGTTGGAGGTAAGAGTCTCACGGACTTCTGCTCAGGCTAGCTTTGAATGGCAATTCTCAGGTCTCAGCCTCCTAAGTAGCTAGGATTATAGTTATGAGCCACCTGTGCCAGGCTGACCCCAAACTATTTTTTATCACATCGAAAGTTTTCTTGGTCATTCAGATGTAGACACCTAACAAATCAGTGTCATATTCCCTTAAAATCCATACTGTGGCTAAAAGTGAACCTAACTGTTTTTAGGATGTCTCAACCATGAATATAGAAATACTGTCTTTTACCTTTTTGGGTTGTACTCTGGCTCTTACCAGTCTGTATCTTTGTTTTACCAGACATGCATACAAACATTCCTACACACTACCCACCCAAGAAAAGGTATTATCTGTTCATAGGCAAAGAGCAACCCCACTTGCTTGTAATTTTCCATGAGACTACTTTCTTGTATCTGTATCTCCTCTTCTACCCCTTAGAAAATGCAGGGCTCTGATGAAAGAATATACATAAACATAAATCTGTAAGATGTCCCTCAATGTTTCTTTTTAGTTTGGTGTGGCTGAACCAAGAAAGAAGGCATATGCAGATTTCTACAGAAACTATGATTCCATGAGAGATTTTGAGGAGATGAGGAAGGCTGGTATCTTTCAGAGTGCAAAATGAATTTGGAACGTAAAGGTAATACAGTTACTTTGTTCTCTGTTCTCATTTGTCCTATAAATTTGCATGTCATTATTACACTTTGTTTTCATCATGGAGCTTGAACTCAGGGCCTGCGCACTGTCCCTGAGCTCTTTTGCTCAAGGCTAGCACTCTACCATTGTGAGCCACAGCTCCACTTCTGGTTTTTGAGTGATTAGTTGGAGATGAGTCTTATAGGGACTCCTCTGCCCCAGCTGGCTTCAAACCACGACCCTCAGATCTCAGCCTCCTGAGTAGCTAGGATTACATTTTCTTTACTGAAGTTTTGTACCAAGTTTTTTTCTTTTTCTGCCAAAAAATGATGTGGGAAATTTTTCTGTGTTTGTGTGCTGGTACTGGATCTTTTCAGGGCCTTGCACTACTCTTACTTGGCTTTTTCTCTTACTGCTGGTTTTCTACCTCCTGAGCCATATCTAGTCATGTTTTTGCAGGTTACAGACATTTGTCTGGTCTGGCTTTGATCTCAGCTTCTAGAGTAGATAGGATTATAGGTATGAGCCAGTAGAATATTAAACATTGCAGTAAATGAACATTTCTGAAATGTCTTTTATTTGTATCATTCATTTCTCTCAGTGGTATTTTGTAGTTTTCCATGTATTTGTTCATGTTCTTTCATTCCTAATGTTTTGTTCTTTTTGAAATGTCATGGGACTTGAACTTCGGGCCTGGGTGCTGTCTCTGAGCTCTTCAGCTCAAGGCTAGTGCTCTACCACTTGAGCCACAGCGCCACTTCTAGTTTTCTGATGGTTAATTGGAGATAAGAGTCTCTCAGACTGTCCCTGCCTGGGCAGGCTTTGAACCACAATCCTCAGATCTCAAGTCTCCTGAGTAGCTAGGATTATAGGCATTAGAAACTGATTTCGTTTAGTTCATTTTGGCTTCTGCAACTTTGCTTTCATTTCTTTCTATGCTTTTTCTTTTTTTTTTTTCCAATCCCTTCTCATTTTCTGTACATTTTTGTATATGGAATTGTTAGTGTTGTTTCTTTTTCCTCTTTGGATTCCTTTTGTTTTTTTCATACTGTATTGATTAGAAGGTGGCCAGGAACAGGCACATTTGCCTTGTTTCTAATTCTAATTACAGGAAAAGCTTTCAAGTCATCTTCCTTTTGGTTTGACATAATTTATGAGCTCATCATGTTTTATACTTATTTTTTAGTACCAGTACTAAGGCTTGAGGTCAGGGCCTGTCTCTTGGCTTGTTTGCTTTTGGCTAGTGCTGTACCACTTGAGCCACAGCTCCACTTTGGGCTTTTTGATGGTTAATTGGAGATAATTGTCTCAGACTTTCTTGTCCTGATTTGCATGGAACTGTGATCCTCAGATTTCAGCCTCCTGAGTAGCTATTATAAGTACATTGCACTTCAGTATCTAATTGTTTTTATTATGAAAAAGTGTTTTGTCATGATGTCTTCTCTGTATGTTTATGTGGTTTCTGTTACTGTGATGCATCATATTTTAATAGTGTGTGTTGAACCATCCTGCATTCTAGGAATTAGTTTCTTGGCCCTCAATTATAATCCTTATAATATGCTATTAAATTTGGTTGGCTAGGAATCTTTACTCCCATTTTTTACATGGTGAAAGTGTCTCTGCTCCTCTTCCCCCCTTTCTCCTGTATGAGTAAGGAGGAAAAAGGTAGTGTATTAGGAGCTTGAAAAGAAGCTTGGAAAATGAGTCTCCAGATCATACAGCCTGAACTGGGCTTCTGCTGGGTGAAAGTGAGTAGTCAAAGGGTAGGGTTCACTAATAGGAATATATGCCAACCTCATTTTTTGTCATTAACTTAGCCCTTGTGTTTCTCTTCACAGAATTTCTTTGGATTGACCTGTGTTCCTGAACTATGAAACATAAATATGTGGGCTGATAAGTAGTTTCTCTTATAAATAAACAAATACTGTGGACCGAAGTCTGTTCAGTTATTCATATTGATAATTCAGGGCATTAAAAAGCATCATACTTGGTTGGTAATTTTTAAGTTACTTATAAACATTGTAAAGATAAATTATCTCAGTATTTTTTCTTTAATATTTAGTTGCTCTGATTTTTTTTCCCCTATTGTACTAAAGATAATTCTGGCTGCCATTGCTCTGGCTTTGAAGGAGTGTCTGGGAGCCCATATGAGGTGTCTGTACTGTGGGCTTTCAGAAGGGTTAGACAGTGAGTCCAATAAAATCTGTCCTTGGGGCCTCATTTTCATTATGGGATAGCCTTGCTGTCACCAAAGATAATTAAAATGCAATTACTGAGGAGTACTTAGAATTTGCTTTGCTAAAGAGTAAAGTTTGTAGAGTTGGAATATGTAATTTAGAAAAACAAGTGCTGGAATTGAGTAATATTTGCTGATGATTCAGCAGTGTGGTAGCTTTTTTGGAATATTTTATTGCTAATATTACAGCAAGTATCAAAAGTTAGGTTTATTAACACTGGTTTTAATCACAGTCCCTTAATAAACTGCATTTTACTCTTTTTAACTCATAGGTAAGATACTTGAATCCTGGTGATAGGAACTGACTCAGTGAAAAACTTCAATGTAAAAAGCTCCTTTGGTGATGTGACCTTTAATACACTATCAGTGAAAGACACAATATAAAAAGTCCATTTAGCTGGGTGCTGGTGGCTCACACTTGTAATCCTAGCTACTCAGGAAGCAGATTTGAGGATTGTGGTTCAAAGCTAGCCCAGGCAGAAAGTATGAGACTCATCTCCAGTTAACCATCATAAAACCAGAAGTGACACTGTGGCTCAAAGTGGTAGAGTGCTAGCCTTGAGCAAAAGAGCTCAGGGACCATGCCCAGGCCCTCAGTTAAAGCCCCATGACCGCCCCAACCCCCAAATAAAAAGTCCATTTAACAGTAGATGTTTACATAGTAATCCAGGACATTTTATTTTAAATAATTTTATAATACTTGAGAGTATGCAAAATACATAAAACGTACACATACAAGAGTTAGTACATATTCACATCCTTAAAAATATCCTTGAGGTTGACCAAAAGTCACTTTCCTAAATCAAAGCCATTTTTCATATTCAGCTTGAATGTCCGTTAGCCTGTTTTTCCACTAACCACATTATAATATAATGGTGACATGCCAATAACCTCTGAGTTAAATCAGAGAGCTTTCATAATAGCATTTTTACCCTGACAATTGATAGCAAAAAGTTGTAGGGCCAAATGTGAATGCAGTCAGTGGGCATGTTTAAATTAATTGGACCATGAGATATTTACCAAGCATTTTAAGATCCAGTGACCTCAGATCTTTGAGTTAAACCCATTTGTAGATGCCAAATAATATTTGCCAGACTTGTTCATTGCTTTGTCAAGTCAGTTTGTCCAAGAAAACTATCTGAACTGATATTATCATTGGGGTTCTTAATTCCTGAGATTACCTGAGCACTTCATGTCTTTTCATAGAAAAAAATGTACTATTTAGCTTGTCTACTAAGACTTTATAAAATTACCTGGACAGTTAAGAGTTAAGTTCAGTAAAATGCAGACCGTGAAGGCAATATACAAGGCAGCTATCACTCAAAGAACTGCATTGCAAATTTCGACAAATCCAAGAAGTTGAACTAAGTCCTAAGCATTTCATTTCCAGAATCTGAACCTTGGCAGATACAGGATAAGTAGTGATATCATCCCTGTTCCAGAACAGATGCATTCTAAATCTGAATCACATTTTGCTGTAGAGCTGAATAATAATAGATCCACATATTGGAAATTTGCAAGTGGCACTCTGGAGCAAAAAAAGGAATGTTTTCTATGTGCAGTAGAAATAGAACATGTTTAGGATTTTGTTGAAAAATGGATTTTTAAAAATCCATCTTGTTTTAGGGAGAAAATTTCAGAAATGTCTAGAAAATTGGTATACTTGCAACTAGAAAAGTGTTGGCCCCATGTCCGTGTTGAATTGCAACTAGCTCTGGGGTTCTTGTCTAAAAACGCAGTAAGTAACTCCTTATAACAGATTTAGGGGAATCCTTTCCTCAGGGCTTTATTTTTCACCATGGTAAATTTACTAATAAAGACCTGAGCAAAATGTGGGTCAGCCAGATAGTTGTATGTTTTAACAGTGGACGGGGGTGGTTCCACAGCGGTTACAGGGCATGGTACTTGAATGGAAGAGCAGCTGGGGGCCATGTGACAAGATGACTTTGCAATATAGTCCACAAGTCTGTTGTACTGTTGTTCTGACAGTCTCTCTCGAACTCCATCCACCTAGGATCCAAAAATGATGACTCATTAGTTGCCAAACCTCTTATAAGGAGTCTTCTGTAACAAACTGACTTCTTTTCCTTCATACATTTGTACATTATACTTGATAACTGGTAAGTCATTCTGTCTAAAACCTTGTTACACCTTTTATTTTCTCTCTGATACATGGCATTGACAACTGTAGTTTCAGGCCAAAAAGAATTTGCATGAAAATATCCGGTATAAGGACCCCACCAGTGTAACATAAAATTCCCATCTTGGAAGATGATTTGATAACATTTTACTATATTAAAATTTTTACTCTATTAAAACATCTGTATTTACCAAGAAGCCCAGGAACAAAAAATAAAGATGTCTTTTCCCGAGCTCAAATCTTAGCTAACGTTAAACTCAGCATGGTAAAAATAAAAGCTGTTAGCCTGGCTCCCAAAACCACTTTAGATAGAACTTCACTTTGAGAGAAAGTGGAGAAGAGCACCTCATTCGAACCGGTGGCTCTGGGTAGAGCATTAAAAACTATTAAACTGTAACTTTTTCTGTCAAGATTTAAAGCCAGAGAAAACAGAAAAAGTGGGCAAAGGAAGGGGAAATTTTTATAGAAAAAAGGGAGGATACAGAGTACATTTATGGTTCATAAAAGTCTGGCTCATCTTCAGTGGAACTCAAAATGAGCTGAGATATACTACCTAGGTTCTTAAGTGAGATTTTCTGAGAAAGCACCATCAAAGGCAGTTGGAGTTATAAATTCTTCCCACTCTGAAGTCCTGTAAGCTATCTAGGGTGTAGATCAAGCAGAGAGGGAATTTTTCAGTGCAAGCTTCAGGTCTGAGAATTAAGTAGCCACTGACCCTGCAGTAGTTTTTACCTACTGAGTGTCTCTCAAAGGATTATAAACATTTTAATAACAGATTTTTAAGTTCTGAAGTAGTGGAATTGTAAAGAGTTACTTTATAATGTTGTATAGAGTCCAGAAACAGTGTAGTAATGGTCTTAAAAAGCTGAAAAAAGCCAGTGAGATAGTATAGAGATACCAAAGGGGCCTGTCTGGAGTAGGACATCCATTAAGAGTTCAGGTCTCATACTTTTGAGCTTGGGAAACAAAGGCCCCCAAGATTCACTGACAGTTGAAAGCTGTTCACTACCAGGCCAACACCAGAGCTCTGATGATATCATCTGATGGGGCCAGGATTCAGCTGGAAAGCTTTGAATACACAAAAAGGTTTAATTGCTCCTCCTGAACAGCAGCGCAGGAAACCCATGTTGTGAAAGGAGCCTGGCCAAGGAATAAATTGACCTTCTGACTCATTTTGAGCCTCTCAAAAGGGATTTCAGTAATGTGCCAGGCATATTAAGCAATTACCCCTTAAATGGCTGCATTTAACCAAGAAAAGCAAATGCTAATTTTAAAAAATTTGAAACCTGCCATATTTGAATATACTGGGTGATGTCATCTACAAATTAATTCCTTCCAAAATTCAAAGGAGCTGTGTTTCCTAGCCCTGGAGGCAAAAGCAATAAACCTGAAAGGCCATTTCATACAAAGAGCTTAAAATGCTGCTCTTGGTTCTCATTAGAAGGTAGGCTTCTTAACCAAGCTTTGTCTCTGGGCTGTTTGAGAAAGCAAAATGTGGAGGAACTGCATATCTGCCACTGCCAAGTGCAGGTGTGTGGAATTAGGTGCTGCTTGTTAATGGTTGTCTTGCAGTATTACTCTTAATGTTTCCTGCCTCTGTTACGGCCATTCTTTAATCTCAACCTCCTTTCACCTCTGGATATCAGGGAAGACCAGTACTAAATTGTCCAGAGCTCTGGTGCTTCTCATAACCTGGTGATTTCATGGTCTGAGCCTTGATAACTAAGGATGCTGACTCCCACTACCATCTCAACAGCCTCTGGAGAAACAGCTTTCTTCCCCTCCAACTATGGTAATCCTCTGCACACTCTTCTCAAATGCAAAATAGGAGAGCCAAGATTGAAGACAGTGTAACAGAAAAAGATCAATCTTCGCTTAGAACAGTTTAAGATCTAAAGCATTTCCCAAGCCAGAAAAAGAAAAATGACAGTGGCCGATATTCTTAGGGTCTTCTTGTCTTGTTAGGGACTAAGGACTAAGATAATACTACTATCCTTTGCCAAGTCTTGTAGCTAGATCACTGCTGCTTTATTGTCAACTGGATCAGAAGATTTTTGGCAGATCTAACAAAGCCTGGACATCTGACCTCTGTTTATTCCCAGAAAGTCATCAACTCAAAGCAGCAGTGTAGTCCTGGTGCCAAGCCTCAGCATAAAGCTTGACTGATTGTGATCCAAAAAACTAAAGAAATCTTAAGAGTTGTTGTGGTTGGCTGTTTTCCATCTGCTCTCATAATTGTACCCAAACATTGGTGTGAGGGAGAAATAGGCTCTCATATCAAGAAGAAAATGAGGAAGGAAGGAATCAGGAAGGACCTGCTGGGGACAGGCTTGTGTCTTTCTAGATCACTTAATCTTCAGTAGGCTCTGGCTTGCTACTAATTACCTTTGTCTTGCAATATGGAAAAAAGAGGTACATTCCATAGGTGAACAATCAGGGTCCATGGAATGGCGGTCACTTGGAGGTAGAGGCAGAGTACCTTTTCCCATTGGTTGTACCTGCTTACTCTAGGCTAGACTGCAGGCAGCTGAGGCCATTCTGATCAGGGTTCATGTCTGACCCTTGACATTCCCCATGCTCCCCCTGAGCATACATTCCACTTGGATTGTTTTCAGGAGCCTAAGCTGTCTCCAGGAGGTACCAGACAGGAAATTACCCCCATGGAACAGGGAAAACAGTGCCACAGGATACAAAGTTGTGGGCAGGAGAGAAACCTATTCACAAACTTATTACTCCCCAATTCTTGTGTTGGGCATAGAGGTGAGCAGAGGGAGGATGTTAAACTCCCTGGTTTGTCAGCTTGCAAAGGTCTTGCCTTCTGCTCTTATCTTGTTTGGTTTTGTCAGTACATCCATTCTTCTGAAAGCAGCCTCTCCCAGGTGGCATGGGGGCCAGGGAGCCTCCTTTGTGAGGTAACTGTCAAGAACTGCTGTCACGCACCTCACCCTCACTGTTTTGAAACTCCACTGTACTGTCTCTGGCACCCCCTAACACCGTAACAGAGCCTTGTTTGAATCACAGGACAGGTGACCCTCAGGCTGGTGGTCCTGACTACCTACTGGGCTTTCTGCACGTTTCACTTGCACAGCTTGGTGGGGTCTTCCCAGTCCCTCTACATTCACCCCACCTCCTCCACAGTTTTCCTGTGTAGCAGCTCCCCTGGTCTCCAGCAGCCACTCCTGAGACCCATAAATGCCTGCCTGGGCAGGCAGCTTGCCCTAATCACCCTGTCTTCTGGACTGTACCTCCATATCACAGGCCACTCTTGTTTGCTTGAGTTGCACGGTGAGGATGTTGCTTTGCTTACTGTCCTGGGCACAGTCTATCTCGGTGACGGGAAAGGCCTGCTGCTGTGTGTCCTCGCTGATGCTCACCACAAAGAGCACTTCTGTTGTCAGCAGCAAGCACCCTTCATGCTCCTGGCCGGAGCCCCTCACCAGAACAACATCCAGGGCCATGTGGAGTTCTGGTCTGCCCAGAGACTGAAGCATTTTCCTGTTTAAAAGAAGGTAAGTGAGGCCAAGAGCTAGCTATGAAGACAGCCACTTAACTTGTGTACACTGATTATTGTAAGTAATCCTGTTATTTTACCTATAAATTCGAATTACTAGTTCTCTCATTGTGGTGAACAGAACCTGGTAAAGATATCTTTGAATCTATTTAGCTCTTTAAGTATTTTTCTCATTTAAAATGATAACCCTGATTAGAGCTCCAGTTCCCACAGGGAATCTGAGACCCTTCTGCAGGCCCAGGGTTCTCAACCCATGTACCAACCCTCCTTGAGGGGTCAGTGTTGAGAAGAGTTTTATTTATTTATTCATGTATTTATTTATTGGACATGGAGTCTCCCTGTGTAGCTCCGGCTGGATTTGAATTTGCAATCCTTCTGCTTCAGTCTTCTGAGTGTAGGGATTACAGGTGTGAGCCATCACACCCAAGCTGTAGAGAAGAGTTCTAAAGCCTTAAACCTGTGAGTAGCAGCCTTTCCTTAGTCTTCTAGTGCACTCTAGCACATCAACTTCTCCTCTTGTGCTCCCCAGAAAACATGGACTGTTAGCCTGAGAACAATCCAGGAGCTATCACATACAAGTAAAGGAAGTGTCTTAGTAATTTTACCAGACGTATTTGACATGGCTGTTTGGAGCCTTGTCAGCATGCAGGTCACTTGGCTGATAGCGCTGTTTGGGAAGTTGAGAAAGTCCAGCTCCATGTAAAATACCTGTGGGGTAAGAGAAGTAAAAGAGCTTTACTAGTTTTCTGGGAAACAGTTTCATGCTACAGTGATGTCACCTGCTTAGAGCCATCCATAAAATGTTACAGAACAGACCCCAAAATGATCTCCTCCTGGATGCGAATGCAGAGACAGTCATTACACATTACACTGCCGTGAACTCCAGTGATCTTATGTTAGCTACAAACTAAAATAGGAATATGCTCCAGTCCAAAAACACAAGCATTTGGAGGAAGCACAATGCTCCTGAGAGCAACTGGTCATGAACAATAGCTCACACATCATTTACAATTATGTGTTAAAAAGTCAAGATTAATAGTCAACTTCCCTGCTTACTTAATACTGTGTCACTACTTTTGTATCTATGCTATGGCTGGCCAAATAAAAAAAACACATAGATATACATATATAAAGACACATGGTTTGCCTAGATACAATATTTAAATGGTAAGTGCCTTAATCCAGCTGTTAAATGCAATTCCATATACATTTATGAGTGCTTTTGGGGCTCTGGTTTATTGCATGCTCTCCCGGGTGCCAGCACCAAATGAGGGCACCCAGCAGCAGCCACACAGGCCTCCAAAGAGCCTCTCTAGAACTAAAGATGGTACAGCATGTATACTTTCCGAGGGCTTGTAAATGTTTATAAATGAGGCAGAGTCATTAGACTAAGAGTTAGTGGTTTGTAAAACCTTCAGTGTGGTAATAAAAGTTTTACAAGAGTGATGGAAACCAAAAAGGCCATGTGAAGCCCAGCTCTGAGCTGCTCTTACATAAGGCAGAGTCCTCAGCTCTGGGAAACACACTATTAGGGACAGTGGCATTTTCAAACCATTTGTGAAATATGAGTTCTTTTTACCTCACTGGAGTCTGTAGCAAAAGGAATAGTGTTTTTATTCACAGAGAGGGCCTAAGCAGTTGATGGGGGTGAGTTACATTTTTTAAATCTTTTAAGTTGTAGCTTTTCCCATGAGGGAACGTGTCATCCACGGCAGAGAGGAAAGTAGAGAGGGAGCGGGAGGGAGGTGCATCGCTCTGCCTGTGTGGTCTCTCCCAGGACGCTCTGGATGGCTGCCTGGAGTGTGCACCGTCTTCTACTCCATCCCGTTCAGACTGTCTTGATGCCCTGGTCTGGCTCCATCCTGTCAGAGCTCCTGAGCTAGAGGATGCGTGCAGTGAAATGTAAGCTGCAGATGATCTGGCCAGATGCAGACAATGCTCAGTGCGTCCTCCTGGGGTTTGAGATGCCAGCTAGTCCTGGCCAACGTGAATAAAAGCATAGAAAGAGATGCTTCCCTTCATACCACTTGTACACGTGTGCAGGGAAGGCCTGCCATGAGTGCCAGGTCTCCTCAGGACTGCTTAGGGAAGGGGCTTTTCTTGCAGACCATTTGCCTTTGCTTCCATTGCCTAAGAGACTGCCTGCCTACGGGGGAGCAGGACAGCATCCACAGGTGAAAAAGGAACCGCCACCTTGACGAGCTATGTGCACCTTCATTCCCCCCACAAAACCCTCACGTCCAGCCTTCTTCCTGTCTTGCTTTCCAAACTGGGAAAAAGTAATCATTCTTTTCTCTGTTGCTCTCAACATCTAACTGATTACTTTTTATTAAACGCTGTGACGTGTATTCTCAGAAATATTCTGTATTAATATTAGTATGAAATTACTGAGATCAGTAACTGATTTCCTGGTTCTACAATTAAAGTATCATTCTTTGTAGAAATAAATAAGCACAGGGAGACAGAATACTGCTCTTCATCATTTTCTCTTCACCCTTCCCTGGCTCACTGCAGGGAGCTCTGGGGATCTGATGCAAATACAGCACAAGGTCTCAGCTGGCCTGAGTGGTTTTCCACTCACTTACCATAGCCAGTCTGTGAAACAAGCTCGGCAGCTCCCCCGATGGGTTTTGTGAACACTCCCATTATTCCTTTCCCCACACCTGAGATGACACCCTTGGCCTTGTGCCCTGCTGAAGCCTGGGCCTCTGATGTTTTCTGGAAGTTCTGCATTGGCTGATCAACTATACCAGCAATTGCACCTGAAAGAGCAAGAAACTTCAGTAAGGACAGAAGCTTAAAATCATCAGAAAATAAAAACTTCAATATGAATGCAGTTTTGAAAATGAATCCCTAGCCACGTGTAGTGTTATACATCTGCAATCCCAGTACTTGGGAGGTTGCCAAAGTAGAAGGATTGCAAGTTTGAGTCCAGCCCGGTAAGACTCTGCCTCTAAAATTTTAATTTAAAACAACAGCAAACAGCTGGTTGCTGGTGGTTCCTATCTGTAATACTAGCAACTCAGTAGGTTGAGTTCTGGAAGATCATTGAAGCAAGCCCAGGGAAATATCCAGATAACTCTCTTCAAAATAACTAGCAAAAAGCTGAGGCATAGCTCAAGTGGCACAGTATCAGCTATGAGCAAGAAAGTTAAGTGAGCACCAGGCCCTGAATTCAAGCCTTAGTACTGCCAAGAAACAAAACAACAGCAAAGAAATCCCTCTTCCAAAACAAAATAAACAACGACAAAAAAGAATCTCTGGACTCCTTATCCATTTATAAGTACCTTTAGGGCTGTTTAGGTTAGATACTCTTCATCAAAAAAAGTTAGACACAGTCTAGGATTCAATAAACTTATCAGACTGTTCTGAAGTGACACCCATGTGCCTTTCCTCAGATACAAGGAAACAGTTCAGGGAGAAGACAAGACTTAACTCAAGAGGAGAGTGTGCCTGCACAATCTAATAAAAACTGGCCCAACCAGGTGTGAGAAAACCTCAAGGGAGAGCCATCTGTCCCTGCTTTTAATAATTATTTAATAATTGAGTATTGTCAATATATTAATAATAAGAATAATCATAGATACAGTTATTATTTCAAATAGCTAATCTATCTTTCATGCTTCTAGATGCTAGGGACTGTGTGAAGCACTTTATCTATAGGAGATCATTTAGCCTCATATTTTGTGAGTTGGACACCATCTTTTTATTATTTTCCAGAAGAGGACACTGAAGTGCAGAGAGGTTAAGGACTTTCCCCAAGGTTACACAGCTATTAAGTGGCTGGACCTAACTTTGAGCCCAAGGAGACTGGGTGATGGTTGAGATCTTAGCTACCAACGAATTCACTTATCCTATTTCTAAAGCAGATTCTTTTATTTGCCAATTTAGAAAAACTCTTCTTTTCCACTTCAACTGAGGCCTGGCTAATTAGTCTTCAATGTAGTCTAGCCAACCAAATCCTGCTTCATGAACTCGCTTGGCACAGCTTGCCACGAGGCCACCACACTGGAGCTTGAGGCCGGCCATGAACAGAAGGTGTCATGGCCACTACGAGATTCATTCTCCTTGCCCCTTTTAATTCCAGAGCCAAGGGGGAGATCTAGCGAAGTCTTGCCAGTCCTGACTTTTCTTTTTGTCAGTTGTGGGGCTGGGCGCTGTCCCTGAACATTTCAGCTCAAAGCGAGTGTTCTACCACTTGAGGCACAGCGTCACTTCTAGTTTTCTGGTGGTTAATTGGAGATAAGAGTCTCATGGACTTTCCTTGCCCAGGCTGGCTTTGAACCATAAGCCTCAGATCTCCGCCTCCTGAGTAGCTAGGATTACAGCCGTGAGCCACTGGCACCTGGCTCTGACTTTTTATATGATGTTGTGGCAGTTTCCTTAAAGTACAAGTAAAACTTTCTTTATACTTCTGGACAGAATTACATGCTTTAAACTCAAATCTGGTAAGATTAATGAAAATGCAGTCCCCCTGGTAGAAATTATAGAACACGTCAAATCCCATTATTCTACATGCCACTAATTCAAAGTCCCTTTGGGTAAATAGATTTGCAGGACTCAGTTAATGACCTGCTAATTTTTAGCAACATTCTGAAATTGAGCAAAATCCAGTAAAACAAAAGGCTACTTCCTTCATGGATTCCAGTCAACTGGGTTTGACAGAGTCATTTAAATTTATAAATCAATAGATTAAGAAATATCAAAGGTGACAGGTCTGCTTCCCAGGCTAGAGTAATGCCATCCAAACCTTGCAAAGAAATGACAGGGGTGAGGGGAGGGAGCTGTTCCTTGCTGGCTCAGGCGGCTCTGGCTTGGGGGCTGTGGGTCACTATTTTATCCAGGAACCAGTGTTTCCCTTGGCTACAGCTCTCCTCACTTTGTCAGAGACCTAGGAGGCCTGTCAGAGGCCTGACATGCTCTCTGCCTATAAGACTAGGGAGCCACATGGTGGGAGGAGGAGGCCCAGCAGTGCAATGGAGACGCAGGACTCGAGCCTTCTCTTCCACCTATTTCATAACAGATAGCTCAAAGGGAAAAATACCAAGAACATAGCTTTAGTGCTTGCATTATCTGACTCTCTGAAGGCTTCCATGCTTTAGAGTACAAAAATAAGTAAATGATTACAAATACAACAACCGACTAAATTACTGCCAGAGTTTCTGGTAGAAATGTTTTCTCTCAAGTGTGGCTTTCATTAAAGCTATTAAAACTGAGATGGAGGCAGGTGGCTGCCTCATTTAGAATCTTCTCCTACTTCCCTTTCATGTGCCAGCCCTGATCTGAGCAAGGAGTGTGGAGCCCTGAGCAGCTGTGACATCCACACAGGGTGCTAACTTTGCTCTGCTTAAGTGCAAACAGGTATCACAGTGAAATTCCCCTTTGATCTTCCACTTTCCCCAGCCACTGGCCACACAAAGGCTCCAGTTACTAAGGCTTTGATAGATAAACTCTTGGGGCAGCCAGAAAAGTGGGAAGCCCGAATCCTATGACAAGGTGTTAGATTCCATGAGCTGGAGAAGAAACTGTCAGGTCACATGGCTTCAGCTCAGCCCCAGACTGTGCAAAGGGGAAAAGCAGCAGCTTCTCACTGAGAACCAGGTGTCACTAGCTCCCTTTGTGCTAACAAGCTGGAGAACAGAGAGGCCAAGATTATCTAAAAGTTAGTCCCTGGTCTTTGCAAGACTGCCTGGAGGGAGACAGCTCCTCGGAGGGCCTTCCGAAGGCCTCTTCCTGAGGATAATCCAGCTAAGTCCACAACGGGTAAATTATTTACTGTCATACTCAAACTCTGTTCTAAGGCTTTAAGTGGTGGAAGCTGATCCCAAGACTTGTCTGTTGGCGATGGGCCCATGGGGTGGGCGGCCACATGGAAAGGGCTGTGATGTGATGAAGCAAGGCATGGAGGGAAGAGCGCGCTGGGATCGGGAGGGGTTCTGGTGGACTCCAGACTCCAAGTGCTGAGCTGGGCTGTGTAGCCACTTTTTCTTCACCCTCAGCGCTAGGATGAGGCCTTTCTCACAGAAGCAAGGAACTGTAGTGGTTCCCTTTACTGCTCCTATGACTTGTTCCCAGCACAAGGCAGGAATGCTTGGTTACTGATCTATTTTGATGCTGCTGATCAAATGGTGTGTGGTTTCATTTCAGGCCGTGTGTGTGTGTGTGTGTGTGTGTGTGTGTGCGCGTGTGCGCGCCTGTCGTGTGTATGTGTGTGTGTGTGTGTGTGTGTGTGCGCGCCTGTCTGTCCTGGGGGCTTGAACTCAGGGCATGGGCTCTGTCCCTGAGCTGCTTCTTTGCTTAAGGCTAATGCTCTACCACTTGAGCCATAACTGCACTTCCAGATTATTTTTTTGTAGTTTAGTGTAGCTGGGATTTACAGGTATGAGCTACTGTTGCTTAGCTGTGGGTCTTTTTTTTTTTGGTTACAGTAGCAGAGGAAGAGGTGCAGGCTGGGATTCTAAGTTGCAGGTCACCACTGCAGACAATGAAACCACACAGCAGACATTCCAACTCAAAGCCAGCTTTTTGGGTCAGAAGAGATGAGCAAACTGAAAAGGAGGCACTTAATGCAAAGCCAATTGCTGATGGCAGACTCTGGTGTCAGGTGTCTCAAGTGCTGTTTCTTGATATGCGTAGCAGCTCCATCTCTCACTGGAGGGGAACACCCAATCTACCTATCACAGGCCTGTCTTGTTGAATTCTGAAAGATACCCAGAGAGTGAGCAGGAAATAGAGATATGAGGCCTATGGAAATCTGGGTAGGACCTTGGGTGGGTGCTCTCCAGTTGTCCAGGCTCCAGGGAAGGAAGCAAGTGTGACTATTTAAGAAAGTGGATTTGGTAAATATGGGCAAAGTTAATGACAATTTTGCAGGCCAAATGGTTTTCCCCCATCTTTTACTTTGGAAACTGTTATAGTGCTCATCCCAATGCCCTGGTAGCCTCTCCCAGCTGGCAAAGCTTTACCCTTGCTGACCTGGGACAGTGTGGTTGAGTTTTAGGTGCTTCACAGCAATCACACAATCCCCAAGAGAAGCATGAAACCCACAAAACCCAGACACATCGTACCCTGGAACTTTCAACTATTAGATAGATAGTCCTACCCCCTGCAGGTTTCCAGGCCAGGAGGCCCTGGGGTAGGCCCAGGTTCCTGTCCTTGCCAGAGGAAGAATGCTCTGGGCAGTGACTTCATCTATGCCTTGGGGTGTCAGGATCAGGTAAGATGACATACGGGAACATGCTTTCTCAAGCCCACCGGTCAGTTTTCATATTTTTAGTAACTGGGTAGTTAAAATTTCAGCCTTATAAAGGAAGAAACTAAACAAGGAGAATATCAATTTCCTTACCAGGGGTTTCAAATCATTACATAGTAATAGCTCTGAGTTAAATTAGGTATTTCATTGTACATGGCAATTTTTTTTTTTGGGGTCCAGTCGTGGGGCCTGAACTCTGGGCCTGGGCGCTGTCCCTCAGCTCTTCAGCTCAAGGCTAGCGCTCTACCACTTGAGCCACAGTGCCACTTCTGGCTTTTTGCTTATGGGGTGCTGAGGAATCGAACCCAGGGCCTCATGCATGCAAGGCAAGCACTCTACCACTGAGCCACCTTCCCAGCCCTGTGCATGGCAATTTTAAACACCATTTCCAGTGATGAATAAAATGATGACAATCTATACATTTCAACTTCTCCTGCTTCTCCTTTCTTTTTCTTCCCACACATCTGGTAGCTTTGGGGCCAGGTGTTCAAATAACCCAGAGGTTCTGAGACACAGGCTTTGAACCTTTGGACAAAAGGACACTGCTCTGGTCAGGCTGGAGATACTGAGGAGTCAGAAGTACCCAGTGGTGGCAGATATGACAGACGCTCATGGGGAAGTTATGTCACCTTCAGAACTCACTGGTTTCTAGAAATTACCAGACTCAGAAGTACCACATGACTCTCAGTACCACATGATAGTCTATAATCATTAGCATTAAAAGGTCCCAAAGTACCAAAATGATGACGTGGAGGCCCCCAAGATAACCTCTTCTAGTTATAGTGATTTAATCCATTACATTAAACTAGTGCAAGAATGATCCTGCCATGTTAAAGGGCTCTCTGTTGGAACACTAGTTGAAACCAGGCAGCACTTAAGAGTTCGTTTGCTACCAGAATATAATGCTGACAAGTGCTGCATGCCAGTGTGGACTCTATGCCTCATCTGGCTGCCCATCATTATTTCTGAGAACAGTATTACCAGCTCTACTTTATAAAACAGACAGCAAGGATCAGAGAAGCTAAGAGCTTGCTTGATGTCATACATACAGGACTTTGATCATCTCTTTTTGAGTCTGTCTGTATACCTGAGGAATATGGTCAACCCACTGCACCGTACCACCTTTCAAAGAAGCCTACCACCTTTGAGTTGCTTGGTCAAGTTGGGAATGCTCCTCTAGATTACTCATCACTGGTCATTAGCTTTCCACTGTCCTTGGCATCAGCACATGACAGTGATGTAGACCACTGGTTGCTGTTACCTAAATAATTTCTAATAACTTAACCTGCCCTTGTAACATTTTATTGTTTCCTCTCTCAGCCTGGGCTGGCGGTGCGGGGGCTGGGGAGCTGCAGGGAGAACTTGAAGCGTTTCAGGCTCCTCTCTTCTCCCCTGTGCTCTGCACTACTTTGGTCACTTTGATCTCTGTGAGGCTATCCTCCCTCAGACATGGAGAAGGCAGGGTGCCAAGCAGTACAGTCTTAAATTCCTTCGCAAGCAAATAAACAAAAATGCCCTTGAAAACCCTGCACTGCAAACTCTCATCTCTGAAGCTTCCTTTACAGATTTTTCCAGAGCAACTTCTTTTCAAACATTTGTAATACTTTGAAATAACTATAGCAATCTTCACCTCAAACTATACCATCTGGCTTCTCAACAAATAATAATTGCTCTGAGTCAGACTGATCTATATAAATAAATAAACAGAAGAAACCAGCTCCTCACCAAAGTTTATACGCATGTGCACGTCACTGGAGAGCTGTTCAAAGGCAAGTGTCTGCAGTGTGTGGGTAGCGGAGCCAGTGCTTCAGTGCTGCTTCAAACAGCACACAGTTGTATACTGCTCTCCTGTGTGGACACCTCTGTCCAGGGGATGTCCTATGCAACTATCCTTGTTTGGAGGTGTGGCAGGCTCAAGCCAAGCCAGGCTCAAGCATGGTATAGTACAGGCCAGCTTCTTCCCCCAGCAGGTCCTGGGATAGTCCCTGTCACAGCCACACAATGGCTCTGGAAGTGGGGTCCTGACCCAGTGCCCCACAGAGGTACTACAGAGGCATACCTATCCTATCCTCTCTAACCCACAGCTTTGCCTACAGAAAGGAGGTGAATTCATGGCCACCCTCCGAGAAGAAAGAGCTGCCAATCCTGGGAAGAGTGCAGAGGGAAGTGCCCAGTCCCTTACCAAGTAGGCTGATTCCCAGCCGGGAGAGGCCCTGTCGCAACCCCTCGCCCAGACTCTCTGGGAGCTGTCGCCGCCACTCTTCCTGCCGGTGGAAGTGCTCCTCATCCAGTGAGAGCCGGTCCATGTTTCGGGCCAGGCTGGTGGCCAGGTTGGTGATGGAGGTCAGGGTACCTGAGGGCACAAGAGATGGGGTTGGCTTCCTTGTCACATGTCTAGGGGGCCCCGGGTGTGGTCCTTGAGGGCTAGATAGGTGGGCTGAGGAGAAAGGCAGGGGCAGCACCTTGTCCCTCCTGGACATGCCCAGTGGGGAACGATGGTGCTCTGCTGCCGGGCCATTTGCAGCAGGGCTTCAGATGAGCTTCCTCGAGTATCCTGTCACTCTTTAAGGGACTTGAGTAGGAATCTGTAACCAGAGGCTGAAAAAAATGCAGTATCTCTCCAATCAATGTATTGCCAAACTTGGTTAGTTTTGAAGTCCTCAATGAGACTCAGTTTTGAAGGCTATTAATTTGCCTGCTCTGATTTTAAAGGTAAAGGTTCTGTTGGATTATCGATGGATTGTAAAGCAAGCATTTCCACTTTAGGAATAAATTTTGTATCCTTATTATGACTTCATTCTTATTTTTTTGAGACATAATCTTGCTGTGTAGCCCAGGCTGGCTTTGAACTTACGATCTTGCCTCAACCTCCTGAGTGCTGGGATTATAGATATGCAACACGACATATATCCAGCTCTGACTTCATTTTAAATGTTTTCAGCTGGTATTCTGAGGCAATAATTATTGCACCACTGAGACTACATCTACTTTTGATGTTCAGGATATTAATGAAAAAAAAAAAAGATGAGGACAACAAAGAAAGAAAAGCTATGGTTTTTCTAAGAAAAATAACTTCAGCCACTTGCTGAAAGCAGGCCCAACACCTCTAAGTCAGCTCATTTGCTAATATTTGGAGAATAGCAGATATTGTTCCATAGCATCTTTACTAGTGGTCTGAAAAGAACACACACACACACACATACTTCCAAACCAACACACCAAACAAGTTAGAGAACAAGTGTAAAAGACATTCAATGAGTCAGGATGCTAAAACTACCACTGAAATTCAATTTAGCAGGTGTTGGTTGTCGTATTTTAAAATAAAAACAAAAAGCACAGAGATTCCAGTGTCAGAAGCAAGAAAGCCGCCAGGGACTCATCTGCGAGTCTGCAGCCCAGGCCCTGGCCTCCCGTGCTTTGGAGCAGGGGAGGGCCCTCCTCCTTGTCCCTGGAGTTTGTTTTTACTGCTCCTGCTGTTCCCTTGCCAGCCCCTTTTCTATGGATCATACATTCTCATATTTCTAGTTCAAGTTTTCTTTTAAGGCCTGCTAGAGACTCCCCCAATCTGTCCGCGTATAATGGAGTTTCGGGACTATCTACAGTACAATGCCTTTTATAGGGAAGAAGGCCTTTGCCTGTTTTCCCTGCCTCCTGCTGAGAAGAAAAGGGGACTCAGATGGCCCTTGTTAGTCCCTCAGTCCCTGCCAACCTGACCAAAACATCCAGCAAACACACAGGGATGAAACGAAAACATTCTTGTGGGAAGCAGCTTGGTCTTCCTGCCCTGTGGCCTACGTGAACCACCAGATGGCACTGTTTACGTGTCATGCTACAGCAAAACTGGCTGTTCACCTCCAAATCAGCATCCATGTCAAAATGTATCCACATCCTTCAGAAAGTTATGACAACTGTTTCTACGCTTAAAAAAAAATACAGTGAGGCACCGAGTGTAGGATTTCTGATGTTTAGCAGAAATCTTGAGCACCTTTAATATTTCTGCATTTATCACATAGAATAGTGGTTGGCCAATCCTTGTTTTTCCAATAGGAGGTTTAAGATCTTAAAGTTTCTGAAACATTTGCACACACTTCAGGCAAGCACCGATCTGTTTAAAACATAAGGCATTATATATGTGAGCTATGTTCCAAGTCTGACTTTCGCTGCAAGCTACCAAGGCAAACAAAGTTGGAGACAATGTAAATGTATTTAAAACTTTTAACACATTCTTTATAAATGAGGAGGATAGGAAGGAACCGAAGTTAAGGCATTATTATCACAGGAACTGAGCAGCTACCTTTAGAAATGTGCTTCACAAATGATGTTGTCCCTCTGGAAACTCCGCTCACAAAGGCTCCTGGGCCTCGAGTCAGCCCCTCATAGGGAAGCCTGAAGAAGTCCGAGATCCCATTTCCTATGCTTCTCACCAAGCTTGCCGGGCTGCCAAGGATTTCCAGAGACCCCACCACCCAGCCTGCAAAGCACCAAGGGGAAAGGGTTACTGAAACCTGGAGTATAATACTTTCAACGTTTGTGAAAATGTGGCACCTTCCCTGCAATCCATTTTTCACAGTAGAACTGAGAACGTAATAAGCTTTTTTGGAGCAAAGTATGGGAAATAACTCATTCACTGTGAATTCATAAATAGCGAACTTTCATACTTCATAAATCAAAGTGATCCTCTGGCAGCCTCACAAATGGCTTTAGTATGACTTCCTCGCCTGAGTTTCCTGAACTCCTATAAAGAGATGCGTGTGCAGGGGACACACTCCCACCTGCCCAGGAAGGTGCTCTCAGGGTTGCAGGTGCTCAGAGGCTGGGCAGGCTCTCCAGACCCCATGGGCAGCCACACAACAGGAGTAGGAGCAGATGCCTGCCTGGTGGGGGAGGCCAATACTAAATGGGGTGTTGTGAAGGGGATGCAAACTTCCGACAAGGATGGAGGAGTTACTTTTAATCTTTCCCAATCCTACCAAGTTGAGTGCTTCCCTTTGGAACTGAGCTAGAGCCAGACAAATGTCTCCCCTTTAGCCCTAACTTCGGTTGTGTAAATATCAGTGACAGGGACATACTGATTAGGTTAGTGCGAGGGGAGTGTTCTGTGCCTCAGTCTCTGGAGGGTAGCTCTGGGTCTGGTTTCCTATTTAAGCCGGAGCTTGCCAGGAGCTGGCCTTCTCAGCGGCCTGCACACTGTCTACTGCCTCTTGGGAATGGGGCAGTGATGCAGTCTGTAGTGGCTGCCCTTCAGGGCTGTGAGCTCAGAAGACTGCAGGGGCAGGCAAGGCCAAAGTGAGGAGAGGAGGAATCTGAAAAGACAACTTCCTTCCCTGGGAAGGCTCTGGGGACAGTCTGGGGAGCCATGCCTCCCTCAGCAGCACGGCCTGGGAGGACAAGCCTGTGACGGAGCCTGAGGCAAGGCACCAATCCATGAAGACCACGAAGGTGCGAGTGAGTGCACGAGGCAAGCCAGGGTCATAGGGATTTCCATCAATGCGGGGCCTGTCTTTCCCCTGGAACATTAGAATGGTGACACCAGGATTGAAGTCAAAGGAGAGAGTAACTGATAAGACGAATACGCAAATGGAATGTCTGTGGAGGTGGGGCTTTAGTTCTCCCGCACCTGTGCCACAACAATATCATCATTTCTCTTCAGCTATGCCCAGGTTAATTTACGGGGAAGGCTACCCTTGGCATGAGAGGCACAGGCGAATTCAACATGGCGTTACCATGTGCCCAGTCTCACAGTCAGAGAGCAAAGGAAGACATCAATCGCACATCTCCACTGATGAAACACAGGAGCTAGCTTTCCATTCCAGGTTTACCTCATTCCCAGACCCCCACCTCCCACAAGCCCAGGCTGCACAGAGCAAAAGATCAAGGAGGATGCCGTTAAAGGCTGTGAATATGCTCCCTTGGAGAATAAAGAAATAGCAGAAGAGCAGATTACTCTCAGCCTGGAATGGTCAAAAGTTTCCGTCCCCAGTTGGGTCTATAGCTACCGTAACTTCCCATCTCTTCAAGGACTCAGTATTTGAAGACAGAAGGTGGCTTCTGCCAAGCAGAGAGGCCTCTCTGTGACAAGCCTACTCAGGTGAGCGAAGGAGGAGGGGGTGTAAAGGGAATGGTGGGGAGGACACTGGAGAAAGCTCCAGTCTCCTCATTCAGCCCCCACCCATTTTGAAAGGAATTGCAGAAGAGAGGCCTTTTGTAATTCTCAGATGCATGGGACTGGGATCTCCAAGGTTATATAACCCATGGAGGCCTGAAACCACTGCCTAAAGTGAGGGCCCACTTGTGGAGCAATTAAGGAGTGATACTACATACTGAATGACACTTGAGTTAGCCAGAAAAGAACAAGAAGTATCCAAGCATACTTACTCCTTGTTTACCAATTCCCCTCTAAAAACAGTCACCCCTCAGATACTAAAATCCAAGGATACTCAACACCTTGTATAAAATGGTGCAGTACTTGCATATAACCTATGCAAATTCTCTCCTATACTTTAAATCGTCTATTGATAACTTGTAACATCTAATACAATGTAAATTCTGTAATGTAAATTCTAAAAGATCTTAGGAAATAATGACAAGAAGAACAATACAAATGCAATTCTTTTTTTGGAGATATTTTCAATATGTAATTGCTTGGATATACATATGTGGAATTCAAAGACAGAAGGCCATCTGCACATCTTTTGCTTAGCTGTTAGGAAATGTTGTTGATAAAGACAGTCTACCTGGCTTTGTATCAAATTGAGACTTTGGAGGTAGACAAGGACCTCAGGAAATTCTCAAGCTCACATTCTTTCCTTCAAGTAGGGCTACTCATTTCTAGTTACCATTTATTTATTTTTAAAACTGCTTTAAGTGACTCACTGCAGATTTCCCTAGAAATGAGGTCAGGGTGTTTTTCTGGTCATTACAACCAGGAAACTTCTACTGTCCAATGGGTAAAAGTTGACCCAAGTGAGTGGTGGAAGCAGTGTGCTCTCAGGCCAGTTTTCTCCCACTCTGTGCTCCATTGCTATTCTACCTGGGGCGTGGTAGCCTCCAGCTGCCTTTCCATTTTGAGCTTCTTCAAGCACTTCTTTTTTCAATCCATTTTAGACCAGAGGCTTTTAGGGACAGAGTTTTCCATAGGCTCTAAAAAACTGGCCCTTTGTATTAGAATTTCTTGTCTTGGTATAGAGTGAACCTGGCACATTAAGAAGATTTTTAGGTGGATTACAAAGAATTCTAAACAGAATGTTTTTGTGAGAGCTCATTAAAAACACAACACAAAACAAAGAGATAGATCACTTTAGTGTACAGGCTGCAGGGGACACAGGTGGAGCCTCTTCTCTGGTGCATTTACCAGATGGACACTTCAAGTATCTCATGATCACCCAATGTCAATGTGAAGCTGCTTTCTTCCCTAGCCTCAGCTCAGAGCTGAGTAATGTACATGGCTGTTTCTCATGTTAAATGCAAAACGGAGAGAATATGTTTTAGAATAGTTTGTAAACATTTCATTTGGAACACTGATTCTTTTTTATGACATCTTAGCAAGAGGGAAATGTTTTCTTCACTGTTATGCAAGCTATCAAAATAATAGGTTTGGTAGGGCCCTGTCTCTGATAATTGTCTTTTTTTTAATGTCTGGTTAGCTCTGTTAATTTCTATGACAATTTTGTTGTGGAAGAGATGTAATCTTACCAGTATAATACAATTACTGGCATTTGACCAATGCTACAATCTGAATCTTCAACGGTAATGCATTCAGCAAGCACAAGGTCACAAAGAGCCTTCATTATTTTCAGAAAGCCAGACTTCTGCTCTCTTTACTGGAGGGGGCCTGACAAGGCCAAATTGGGATGCTGTTCTGGGCTTGAATCATTAGGACCATGAGGAGACGATCAAGCAAGCTGCCTGATTAACCTTGGCTCAGGGACATCTGCTTCAGTGCTGAGTACTGTATTCTGAGACCAAATGGTCCTCAAGATAATCTGCAGCACAATACTTCCCATATAAGATTCTGCACACATACCAAACACTCTTTGAAGGCTTTCCCAACTAAACCGAAAACAGAAGCTTTATCACTCCCTCTGGGCCCCTGAGGAAAGCACAACCCACCTAAAAGTACTAGGGCATACCACCTATTTGGTACCAGAAGGTGGTAAGGATGAAGGAGAGCATTCTTCCTACCTGGGCTCAGGTATGTGGAGTGGCTAAGACACCAACAGCCTTCACTTTGCTCTGTGTCCACTGACTCTGGAGAGGCAGAGCTTGTGCATCACATGCAGAGCAAACAAGTGCTCAAATCTCTCAACGACAAGCATTTACCAGCAGCAATGAGGAACAGTGACTGCCTAGAACTGGGCTCCTTTGGGTCCCAGCAGCTGAAGGTGGGCTAATTTTCTGGCTGTGCTAGTATGTTGAGAAAGGGTCAGATGCTGAAAGTTTCTACTTTTTTTTTGCTAAATTGAACTAAAATCTAAGTCATGTAACAGTGAAAAATATGGCAACTATTGTCAGAATATTTACTAAATGTAAAGTAAAATGTTGAGTACTTGACATAATTATATTTGCTCCTCCCCACAAGAAAACACTTTATAGATGAGGAAATGAAGATTTAAGGAGGTTTAACAACTTGCCCAAAGGGCTTAAACAAGTGGAGTCTAGACTTCCATCTAGTTTGGTTTCATTGCAAAGCCCTACTTTTCAACTATTGTTTTCCATAGTTCTGGCCCAGGCACTAACTTATCATAGACCTTTAGCTTCTCCTCACCTGCTCTGAACAGAGCCCCAGCAGCGTAGTGCATGGCCAGGGCGTGGACCAGCTGTCTTGCGGTGGTGAAGATGGGTCCTCTTTCAAACACTGAGAAGGAGAGAGGAGTGTGGTCGGAGGCTATGTACAGCTTGAGGGAAGCGTGGATGCTGACAAGCAGGTTCACGGGCTGGATGACCAGCTTCCGTAGCTTCACCGGGTTCACTAAGGCCCTGGCATGCTGTCTCACCTGTGGAGGCAGCACTTGTCTATCCCCAGAGAGCTGTGTGGCATGGCTAGCCAGTCTGCTGTGAGGAAGGTAAGTCTCAAACAAAGTTTTAACGTAGTACACAAATGTGTCCTCCACATATAACCGGGCAGGCTTCAGTTCGAAACTGAACTCATGGACATCAAGCAGAAAGCTACTGCCATCAGTTACTGTGATGTGAAGTTTGATGAAGCAATTCTCCTTGTATTCTTCCAAATCCCTGCTGGAGACAAGGAGACTCTGCATTTTGGAGCACTGAATAGGTTCTGTTTTCTCTCCTTGGCAGACCAAAACAGCGAAGTGGAAATTGGACTTGTTGTAAAGCTGGTTGTCCAGCTGCAGGTCCCCACAGAAGACTTCCACAGAGTAAAGCTGGAAGAGAGTGGCCACAGGCTCTTCCCCAGAGAGGGCAGTGGCTACAGGGGCCACGTGGAGAAAAACATTGTCTAGTGTGAGCCTCAGAAGTTCAGACGATGCTCTGGGGTGAGTGAGGTCATCAGATATTGCCAGGCTCAACTGAGTGACAAACATTTTAAAGGTAATCATCTTTTCCAGAGTTCTAGAGGAGAAAAGGAAACATTATTCTCTCCAATTTTCCTTCTTTTTAAAATAACAGTGTCTTATTAAACACCTCCTAATAGGACATGAGATTCTCATAAGAGACAAATAAGAACTCAACTGTCAGTACATTGTGTGTAGACAGAGCCAGCCACACTAGAAGAGTATTGGGAAATGCTCCCAATGGGACTATTACAAGTTCTTGTCATGTTTCTGTATGTGTTTCCCTTATCAACACCAGATTTTTACTCCAGAATCCCATTAGCTTTTGTCATGATGAGAACAAGACAAAAAGATGAATAAAATAACTAAAAACCTTAAATTGAAAAAGTGAGGCAAACAGAAGAAAGCTCAGCATTTGCAGCATGCTGCCTTCCCTGTGCCCCTAAGGTGTACCTCAGGATTCTGCACTCATTGCTCAAGGTCATCACTCCCGCAATGCATCCTGTTCTAGATTACTTTTCTTTTCCTTGCCAACAGCTCATAAACATGCTGTTATTTCTCTTCTCTTAAACAATTATGACTCTACTTCCTTCTCTACTTAGCACTCATTTCTCTGAAACCATTTATAGAAAAATTCTGAAGTATTTGCTATACATTGTCTCCTATTCTTCTTCTCTGTTCTATGAGTGTGCTGCTAGCTGAATTATATATCATAGTTTGACAAAACAACTCTTTTCAAAGTCACCAGTGACTTCCATTTGGCCAAAGCAATGATGGACTTCATTTTATGCTTACTCAAATTATTTATGACGTTTGACATTACTGGGAACTTTCTCTCCCATCACACACTATTTTTTAACTGTCTTTTCTTAGATCTTCTCTCTGGTCACTCATGCTTAGTTGTCTACATGAATCCTTTCTTCTCTTCTAGCAGACCTCTTAAGTTAATGGTCTCTAGGATTCAAGCCATGGTCCCACTTTTCTTCCCCATCACCACTGATTCTTTGGGAATCTTAGCCAGTCTCATGTCTTGAAGCACCACTACTATGTGGATGCCTAGAATTCTAATCTGCCTGTCCATATAGTCACACTGAGAAGGCTAAATGATGTCTCAAACTCAGTTGGTCATGACATCTGTGTATTCAAATCTTGTTCTTACACCCTCAACTCTCACACAGCCTTTTCTATTCAGTTAATGGTATTCATAACCTACCAACTGATCACACCAATTTTTTTTTTCAAATCACTCTTGATGTCTCTATTTTTAAATCCATATCTAACATATAAGGGACGTCTCACTGGCTTTTCCTGAAAAATATATCCCCAAATCTTCCCACCCACTTCCACTAATATTACTGTGGTCTAAGCCACCAGTATCTCTTGGATGTTTACATATAACAGCCTTCAAACTGTAGGAGTGTCCTGATTGGTTGGATTTCATTTCTCTAGAGCCTGCTTCAACTGAACAGCCACTTATCGAAAAATTTAAGCCACAGGTTCTCTATTCCAAATGTTCTAATGGCATCCTCATTTCACTTAGAATTAAAAAGCAGGGTCTGGGAAGATGGCTCAGTGGTAGAGTGCTTACCTTGCGTGCATGAGGCCCTGGATTCGATTCCTCAGCACCATATAAACAGAAAAAAAAAATTCAGAAGTGGCGCTATGGCTTAAATGCTAGAGAGCTTGCCTTGAGCTGAAGAGCTGAGGGACAGTGCCCAGGCCCAGAGTTCAGGCCCCACGACCACCACCACCACCACCACCACCAACAACAACAAAGGCAGCTCTTAACAATGGCCTATGGGCCCCCTTCCAGCCTTGAGCTCCATGGCTTTATGCATTACTACTTTTACCTCCCCTACTCTGCTGGCCTCTGGCCTGCCCTCCGTGATGCCAGGGCACAGGTGCATGATGTGCCCTGGTCTAGCAAACATGTCTTTCATATTAATAACCACTTTCCTTTTCAAGACTTTGCTCACATGCCAGATTTGTGGATTGGCTTTTTTTTTTTTTTTTTGCTGGTCCTGGGCCTTGAACTCAGGGCCTGGGCTCTGTCCCTGAGCCTCTCTGTGCTCAACGCTAGTGCTCTAGTGCTTGAGCCACAGCGCCAGTTCTGGCTTTTTCTGCTTATGTGGTACTAAGGAATCAAACCCAGGGCTTCATGCATGCCAGGCAAGCACTCTACCACTAAGCCACAATCCCAGCCTTGGATTGGCTTTCTATAAGAACTGCTTTAAAAGTCCATTCTCCTTTTTCCCAGGTCCTGTCACTTATGGCTGCTTTAACTGGGTTGTTTTATACCTGTGTTGCATGCTGGCCATGTACCATATCATAAAATATCCCTTTGGTTATGTTTCTTTTCTCTCCATTTCTTCTTAATCTGATAATGTCCATGAGAATGTACTCTCAAGGGCAAGAGCTTTATTGTCTTTTACTCAATGATGCAACTATGTCCTCATAAAAGCACCTGGAATATAGTAAGCACTGAAACTATTTGTTGGATAAATGAATCAAACAAGTGCAAGTTGTAGATATTTATACTGTCTTATTTCCTTTGTGGCTTGTCATGAACAGTTATACCCTATGAGGAATGTTTCTAAAACTGTTGTATGGGCTTGAAGTTTATACAATTTAAATTTTAGCCTCCGATTCTGTCACACTATTAATGTTCTACATACTCTTGAGCAATAATAAAAAATTCTATCAAATGTGAGTGAAACAGCAGGCCCAAATTAATGAGTTCTTTAAAAAATGCTATTACGGAATTAAAATACAGAAATTATTAACTAAGCACTTATGACGCTAAATCTACCATTTATTAGCAGTCATGATTATTTCTTTTCACTTTTTTTTCTTTGGTAGTACTTTGGGGTTGAACTCAGGGCCTTATGTTTGCTAAGAAGGAACTACTTGCCAGCCTTTTTGTGTTGGCCTTTTTGAGAGGGAGTCTCATTTTATGCTCAGGCCAACCAAGACTACAATCCAACTATTTGCATTTGTGATTATTCTCATAATTGGGTGTGCACCACCGCACCCAGCCATTGGCTGTGAAGGAGTATCCCAAACATGTTTTTGCCTGGGCTGGACTTGAATGGTAATCTCCTAATCTCCACCTTCCAAGTAGTTAGTATTATAGGCTTAAGCCACCATACCCTAGCTTTCTTCAACCACCTCCCCTCCTAATACTGAAGTTTGAATTCATAGCCTTGTGCTTCTTATGCAAGTGTTCTGTCACTTATTTGAGTCATGATAACATTATCTTTTGTTTTACTTATTTTTCAGGTAGGGTTCAGGATATTGTAAACTTTCACCTAAGCTGGACTTGGGCGGTATCTTACTATTTCTCCCTCTAGGAGCTGTAATTCTAGCTAACATACTCCTATCCTCCCCTCTCAGGAGATTGAGATCTGGAGGATTATGGTTCAAATCCAGCCTGTGTAGAAAATTTTACTATACTCCTTCTTTAGAATAATCAGCAAAAAGGGGCTGGAGGTATGGCTTAAGTGGTAGAACACCAGTTTAGAAAACATGAAAATATGATGTTTCAAGCTCAAACTTCAGTATAGCCAAAAGAACATGACATAACCATATGTGTGCATATATATACTGTCAATATGTACAGGTGATATATAACTATTACATATATTTAATGCTGTATCTATAGTCTGCTTGCTATACTTTCTATCATAGAAATTTTTCTGTTATGTCAAAATCCTATTTTTGCAAAATGTTATTTCTGATTCTACTAACAATAGGCATTTTGGTACAATAGTATTTTGCTATTATAATTAGCAATGTTAGAAACATCCCTTTGTACATATCTATGTCCATTTCCTTACTCTTTTTTTAACTCTTTAAATCTTTAAAAGTGGAATTTCTAAGCCAAAGAGATTTCAAAGCTCTTAAAACATATTGATAAAGTATGTTTAAGAAAAATGACAGGGGCTGGGAAAGTGGCTCAGTTGTAGAGCGCTTGCCTTGCATGCTGGAGGCCCTGGGTTCAATTCCTCAGCACCACATAAGCAAAAAGAAAAAAGCCGGAAGTGGCGCTGTGGCTCAAGTGGTAGAGCGCTAGCCTTGAGCTGAAGAGCTGAGGGACAGCGCCCAGGCCCAGAGTTCAGGCCCCACAACCGGACCCCCCCCCAAAAAAAGAAAAATGATACCAATTTATACTTCTATCAGGACCCCTTTGAACAAGTATTTCAAAATATATAAAAATATTTTTTAAAAAAAGAAAGGAGGAGGCTACAATGCTTGATTATAAATGTACTCATTATCTTGCCCATGTAATTGTAACCCCTCTGTACAGTATTTTCACAATTAAAAAAAAAGAAACATTGTTTTAGGCAATTGTATAACTTAAGATGTATGTCTTAGTTTGTAAATCAGGTTGTAAAACTTACAACAGAAGAATGAAAAGACTGAAAAAATATAATATATTGTATGATTTAATGCTAGTAACTAGATCTTACATATCATACATAATTAACTAGAAGCGTCAGGGGTATATAGAAGTAACAAAGAATGACAAATGATAGGCTACATATTTATAATGGTAAATCTTAACTATATTACTGGAAAAATAATTAGATATACCTGTTGCTATTGGTTAAAATAAATCCTGCTTTTCCTTCAGGGACCATAGTGATGAAGATTGTGCCACACTGATGCACAATGTCCACGTACACATAGCCAAAACCAGTGAGGAATACAACCTGCAATGAAATATTCACAATCTCATTACACAGCACTAAGAATGCTACTGAAATGGCCAATTTTGAATGTCTTAAGTTCTGATTCAATACCAAAAACATTTTCTGCTTATATTTCTTTATATCCACGTGTACAGGCTATTCAGTTGACTTGAAATGAAAAAAAAATCAAATCCAGATTTTTCAATATCCAGCTGTACCGTTGTTCACAGAAGAGAAATGATGGATGATGGGGCATGAGTATCTTCATTCTCTGTTTCTTTGGAACTGACAAATACCTCTGTATGTGCTGGAGGCCAGCCCTGGGCCAGCTTTATGTGTACATATGAATCTCCATGGGGGGAAAACACCCTAAAACTGAGGACTTGAACAGCAACGTGTGAAACATTTTCAGACTGTTGAGAGCTGACTTACTACTACAAGGGTAGCTTCACATGCTGGGCACAACTCCCCCCCCCCAAAGCCCATCCCTCACAAACTCATAAGAATTTTAGGTAAATTAATTTGCTTAGGGTCAAAATTGATTTTTATACCATAAGAAGATGAACTAAGACTAAAAACTAAAAACTGTTCAATGTCAGAATGCAGGTGCCAGGGCAGCAGAACAGATGTCCTTTCAACATTAAATAACACTGCTGCTTACATGAATAACTATTTGAAAACAGAACAGAACTTTGTGGAAAAACAACCCCAAGAACATCATGTTCACAGCCAGGATTACCTGAAAGCAGGCGCAAGAACCTCCTGTGCTTGGGAATGTACATTCTAATGATCTGTAAACCATTTTACTCCAAATCTGGACCTCTATTATTAGGACAGGAAATAATAGAAAAATCTCTGACAATTCTTGAAGGAAGAAACAAAGCTAGGTGCTTACTTGCCAAGTGATGAATGCATTCTAAATCTGACTAAATGAAGAACTACAGAGAGTATACATAAATGCACAGGAGAGGACCACAGACTCATGTTGAGAAATAACCCAAAGGTTACTGGGCTTCTTTCTTAGAAACTCTGACCATATTCAGCCAGGCCACCTGGATGCCATCTTTGCCTCCTTCTCTCATAAGCTTATCTGCGATTCATCTTCTAGCCTAGGCCCTTGCCTTACCATTTCCCATTCCCTGTGCCTAAAATATATTGTACTCCATACAAATCTTTACTGGAAGACTGGGATTATTCACTTGGCACAAACCTTTTTAAGGTTTAATTGTCCAGGGGGAGTTTTGAAAGAAGGCAAATTAATCTAAACTTCAAATCCATACCTGCTAGTCAAAAACCTAGACTATGGAGAGACTGCTGGGTGTACCTTTTGTCCCTGTTGACAATGAAAGAAATGGTCTTAAATCCTGGCCCATCTCCTTGTTGTCTTTCACATGTTAGAATAAAAGCTCACAACTCCAAGCCTTTGTATATGCAGCTATAAACCTAAAGGAAATGCTTGTTCGGGACTGATGGGTTGGATCATTCAATCAGTTTACCCATTTTCTGATACATACTTACAGGGTACCCACAAAAAAACTGGTTATCGGAGTAGATAAAAAGATATGCACCAGTTGTTCACAGTTCAAGTGGCAACAAGGCAAACTGCACAAATACTGAGACAAAACTAACATTCCAGAGCAGAGGTATATACACTTCTCTTCTTCTGTAGTAACCACCCTCATCTCTCTGTGAGCTCCACCAAAGCAAAGGCATTTTGTCTATTTTCTTCAGTAATTACACCGAGGGCCTGGTCCTCAGGGAAGATCAGTAGGTGACTGGAATAGCCAACTTTGAACAGTGGCTGCTGTGGTGGTATCTATCTCCCCTCTCCCACAGGATTAGACTGCAGCCATGTGATTACTTTTTGGCAATGGGCTATGGGCATAATTGACACGTGATACTTTTGAGTTACAGTATAGAAGAGTCATCTTTTTGTTCCCTGATGCAGAGAATAGGTAAGGGCTTTCTGTTTCAGATCAGACATGGGCTAAAGAACATATTGTTTCTAATAAATGAGTTGAGAGGCTGTGACAGTCTGTACAGGTTGAAAAGCCCCAAAATACATTTTGGACTGTAAAGGAAGCTGCTGCCTTCTATTTTTTGTACCAATGGTAGATGAGTGAAATACAGCAATGAGTTTTTGCATCTGAGTATACATGTTCTGTGTAGCTCCTTCCTAAATGGACATAAGAGCTTGGCTATATGACTTTCTTTAGATAACAGGGCATCAGCAAAACAACCAAAAAATCAAACCCCAAATAACTTGCTAATGGGGGTGAATAAACCTGGTCTGGCCTGCTCAAGCAGGAAAGACTACATGGTGAGAGAGTTGTCCAGAATTCCTAGCTGAATCCATTCCTCAGCCAACTCCTGCCAAATGCAGTATATATGTAGTCCAAGCTTCACCCTGCAGAAAATTCACTCAAAACATTTTTTTTGTCAGTCATGGGGCTTGAACTCTGGGCCTGGGCACCGTCTCTCAGCTCTTCAGCTCAAGGCTAGCACTCTACCGCTTGAGCAATAACACCACTTCCAGTTTTCTGGTTTATTGGAGATAAGAGCCTCATGGTCTTTCCTGCCTGGGCTGGCTTTGAACTGCAATCCTCAGATCTCAGCCTCCTGAGTCTCTAGGATTACAGGGGTAAGCCACCGGCACCCGGCCTTATAAAACACTCTTAATCATTATTTTAAGTCTCTGGGTTTGGAAGTGGTTCGTTACAATGGAGCAGATTCAAGATGGAGCACAGAGCATACACAAAAACTGAACCTGGGATAATTATGATGATGATGATAGGCAGCACAACCTAGTTTAACTTTCTAAGACGGACCAAAATCATCATATTCATTATTAAAACTTTTAAATGTTAAAGTGACTAAGAATGTAACTCATATTAAGGGTATGCTTTTCCCACAGAAGCTCTCTTAAAGCCAGAAAGAGGTAAAAGGAAGCGAGACAACAAAAGAATGTTTTAGTAAGGACCAGGAATGCCAGTGCTGATGGTTTACACATGTAATCCTGCTACTCAGGATTAGAGTATCTAGACAGAGGTTTGAAGCCAGCCCACGCAGAAAAGTTCACCAAATCTCTTCTTAATTGATAACTAGGTACAGGTGGTTCATGCCTCTCATCATAAGCTCTAGGGAGAGTGTAGGCTAGATTCCAGCTCAATGGAAAAGCTAAGTGTAGTGGTAAGTGCCTGTCATCTCAGCTAGAACAGGAAGCCTAATGTAGGTGGATCCAGGTCTATGGGCAGGAAGTAAGATTATATATAAAAAACAACCAGTACAAAAAAGGGCTGGAGATATGGCTCACAGGGTAGAGCACATGTTTAGCAAGTATGTAGCCTGACCTCAAATCTTAGTACTATCAAAGGAAAAAAATCTCCCAGAGTATCCAGCTGGAAAAAAAAAAAAAAGGTAAGAACACTCCTAAGAGTAGAAACAGGCTTCACTTCTTCTACATTCATGAGAGTAGTATACAGAAAAGAATCTCAAGTAGATAAGCTATGATATGTGAGAACTTCAGGCATTGCCTTTGAAGGCTGTGAAGAAGACGTTTACACATGTGCTAAGGGACTAATCCCTAACCTATAAAGGGAAGACCAAGGTAAGATGTAGCCTGGTCCCAGAGCTGATCTGCTTTAGGCATTCTAGTGGACTAGAGAGCTGCCTCTGGACTAATAATAATAAAAGTAATAATAAAACATGTTTTATTAGCTACTTTGGTAGTTGTTGTGGACACAGACTAGAGTGGACAGGTTAACTATAGAGAGATCTTTTAAGAGGCTACTGCTAAAATCTTGGATTGAGATAATGAACCAAAGGCTTGAAGACAACTCTGGTTATGGAGCGAAGGGACAGATTCCAGGCATTTATGAGGTATTTCTGAGAGAACACAGATTTACTGGGTGTCTGGGGCAAGAGAGAACAGGAAGGTACTTGGATGCAGCAGAAAGCTTGTAAGCCAGACAATTCTGGGTGTGAATCCCAGGCCCACTAGTCCTGTGCAAGATCACCTCTCTGAGCTTCAGGTAGCATCTTCCTTTAAGGGATGTGACAGACCAGTGAAAATAGCTTTAGAGCACTTGAAATAAAACAGGCATTCAATACAAATTTACAGTAGTATTATTTAAGCCTGTATTCTAGGGAAATTATGATGACATTAACTGAAACAGAGATTCTGGGAAAAGCTGGTTTGGGGTCTGAAAAATGATCATCTTGATTTTAGAGACACACTGAGTTTGAAATACCCATAGATCTGTCAGACTGAGATATTTGGTGGGTAGCAGGAAACAGAGATTTAAAGCTCAGAAGGGTCAGAGCCAGAGATATCTGGTAGTAATTGGGTGATAGACAGTACCTACAGTTATCAGATGAATTAGATATTCCAGAAAGAAAAAGGAGATGAATTTCTAAGGTGATTGAAGTAGAAAAGGTTGGAAATAGATGAAAAGCAAACAGTAGATATTCTGGATGTAATTTTTCCCTGTATATGATTCTGAAAGACATTTCAGAGAAATTTCCTGCTCGTGAGTGTCTGTGGAAACAGTTGTGATTCAGCCAGAACCAATAGTAAACGCATAGGAGATTCTAGACCAGAGTACTTGCTGATGTGCAGAAGTAGGGGCCAATCTGTTGTTAATCTCTGCTGGCCCTAACGTGGGTGTGGAGGAAGCTGAGAAAAATAAGCAAGAAGCCAAAACACCTGAACCAGATATTTTCTAGATATTCACTTAGATTACAAGCTTTTCTTCTATGTAAGAATTCCTGGATGGCAGCTAGAGGTATCTGAAATCCCTAGCTGTTGCTCCAAGCATTAGTGTGGAGGGTAGTCTGGGACCTGCACCAAATGGACAGATCAGATATCCAAATTCTGGTTCATCAAGGCTTGAAGTGTTTCATGACAGTTTTGTAGATGTGAAATATGCACAGTATTGTTTAAAAGTGCCTTTCTACACATTTTCTCCTGTATTTAGATGACAGTAGAGTTTGGTGTGGTACTAGCTGACTGAACCTAGTCA